ATATATATATGTACAGATAAATATATTTTATCAACTACCTGTTCTTCAGCCATTTTATTTTTTCTATTTTAACTAATAATCAGTATCTGAAATACTTTTTGTGTGTTTTTGTTGCTAATCTCTGAGCTCTTCTTAATTTGTGAAATATGTGTTTCTTTTGAAGAGCATCCTCTCATTCTATTAATCTTAAACCAGTCAGTGTTTTGTTTTTGTTTTTTCTGTATTTTATCTCTTCAGGCTTCAAATACAGCTCATTACCATTAAAGCGGGCCATGTCAAGCTTTGTGCCACTTCTATCGGACTCATTACTGCCAGCTTGGCTGCTTGGACCCAATTTATTATTTATTTATGGACATTCTTAGGAAAACCTTCTCTAACTGGTGAACATTTTAAAACATTTTAAACCGTATGTTCTCTAATTTGTTTTGGTTGTCTGTCCTGTTATGCGTAATGTATGCACTGATTTCTTTACACAGATTAAGTTACTAAAGAATAAATAGCTAAGATGGATGATTTAATATTTAGCTTTGTTCAAACCAAATCTAACATTGTGCCATCATTATTGTTAACACAACAAAAACAAACAACAAATCTGACTTTTCAAATGTTCTTTTATTTTTTTCAAGGAAAGTTCATCAAAAAAATTAAAAAATCAAACATTTTTATCAGCTGGAATAATCATTCATCATAATAATGCACATTTCCTATAATGCAGTGCTTATTAATACCAGTAAGATGTTTTTGCATTTTTCCTGTCAGCATAAAGCTGGTTCGCTTATGGTTGTTTGTATTTTAAATCAATTTGTTTATTTTGATTTTTCTGAAATCCCCTTAAAAAGGTGTTTTTATGCACAAAGAAAATCAAATTGGTTAAATAGAATAGAATTAACTTATTTTTATTACATATACTAAACAGTCAAACAGTTCAACACATTGTCCTCTGGATTTAACCCTCCCTAAGTACGAGGAGCAGTAGGCAGCCTAAGAAGTTGAAGTTGTACTTTACTTTGGTGACAGGAAGCTTCATTTCCACTATGTCACTGCAACCAGGAAATCATTATTATCTAAGTCTGAAATCTGACTATCAAGACGGTTTTGGTGAGTTTTATTTTGTTTTTTGAAGCACAAGGTACCCTTTAGCATCTGTTTGAGACACCTTTTTAATTCATGGTAAATGCCAAACAATCGCAGTTCGGTTAGGTTCTCCAGTGACTCCAGTCACTTATGTAACATTATGTAACTTAAAACTTGTAATGATGTTGAGGGGGAATGAAAAAACCTCGGTATTTGACGACATGGGAATGAAAGTGGGTTGGTTTCTTACATATTACAATGTGCACATCAAAGCGGCAGACACACTGAAAAGATAACTACATTTTAGAGTAATTTGTAAGATGTCAAAAAGACCTACTACATGCTGAACCACATAAGCAGGAAGAGTAAATGATGATTTGGTAGGCAACTCCATCAGGCCGTCTTCATCAGCGGGCTTCTCTATGACGCCATCCTGGAGGTCGTGCATTGACATAAACTACAACAACAAACAAAAAGGAAATATTGCAACATGATGTTTGTTACTCCTTAACCTCCAAGTGTTTGTTGATAACATACTATTCAAAAGTGCTCTTCCTGCTGCACTCTACCTAATTGGTAACACATAATTTAACCCTGTAACAACAAGAGTATCGTATTTGATACATGGGTTTTTGAGACCTGTGTGATATTATTTTTTCCTGAAAAACCTGATGTATGCAATCAGACACATACAGTGCATGCATAATCAACCAGGGATCAGTAATTCATTAACCAGAGGGCCTTCAGTTGTGACATCCAAAATATCTGCCATCTATCAGTGTCCAATTTTGAAAAAGTTAAGGTAAGTAAAACATGTAATGTAAGGTCCATCTTGCCTGAACAAGGACATAAACTGTTTTCAGGCCTACCACAATGCAAGATCAAGAGGCTGTGAACCAAAAAATTAACCAAACTAAGTGAGAAGTTCCTCTTCCACCATGCCAGTTCCACTGGTGGGTTTGTCATTGCTGTGTGATAGCTTCATTTCAGCAGAATATGTATGACGTTGTGCAATATGGAAAATATTTTGTATGTTTGAAATTACTTAAAATTTTTTAAAGGAAACTGAAATCTTAATGGGTTAAAATGTTGTGTTTTATATGTTTTTGTTTGTTTAAGATAAACAAACTGAGCAATAAATTGCACAAAAATACCGGATGTAGCAAAAATAATACAAATAAATAATAATAAATAAATAAAACTCATGTATCCAAACTGATATTGAATTTATTTTTTAATAATTAGTCAGTAGTTCAATAAACAGTTTAAAAAAAAAATTAAAAATTCTGGCAATTATTTCATGGTTCAGGCATTACAGGGCTAATAACCTAACTGCTAAAATATAAAAGTAATTTGTCGCTGCTGAATGTGACTGCTGTTTTGTTACCTACTCAAAGACAACTGTAGTAAAACAAAGAAAGCTTAAATGTACTCACTGGCTTCTGATTCAAGCATCATATCATCATTCACATGACTGTGGAGAAAAGAGAGAATAAAAATGTATTGGAAATAATATAGAATATATTATGATTGGCTACACAGTGTAAACTGTCCAAAAGTACTTCTTAATTAATATATTGCTCTACATTTACTATCTGAAATGTATGCACTATATATACATGGCCCTCAAATTGTCACAGCACAGCCAAAAAACTAATATTCACTGTTTTCTGCCATTAATCGCAGTAATGCGACGGTACATCTGT